GTAAAAGATCTGCCTCCGTTAAATGCTGCACCCGTTTAAAATGATAAGGATGTAATCCTTGCATTCTTGTCATTCTTCCTATCTAAAATTATTATTTTTAGGATAACTATCAAATAGGTATTCATAAATTTTTCTTACTATTGATCGAGGTATATCCATAATTTCTGAAACATTTCGTATGCTTATTTGCGGATTATTTTCAAACATATTTAAAGCAATATCCATACGATGATTTCCCAGTGGCCTTCCTGAGCCCTGCATGCGCTGAAAACTTCCATGGTTTGACAAATTCCGGTGAATATCAGTAAACATTCGACGTCCAGGTACTATGCGATTGGGAAATCTTCTTTGATATTCTCTTACGGCTGCCAATGAACTGCCATTGCAAAACCCGTACACAAAATGCATGTCAGTCAGTTCTCTGTCTGTAAATCTTGGCATGTTAAATCGATTTAATAAAAATTTTGATTTAAATCTAGTAATTTTACACTGCTAACAATGTCAGCTTAACGTCATAACAAATCAAAACAACTTTTGTTTGCAGTCATGGCTAAGTATGTATAATCAACGATTCATTTAAATTCGCAGTACATTTCCTATCATGTGACAAATTTTTTAGTTTGATTTTATTCAAAAATGGCTCAATTTATCGATATTCAATAAGAGTACCTTTTTTATGTAGAAGACCCTAAATTTTCAAATTCTAAAATTGAATTTCAAAAATAGAATCACACAAAAATTTTGGGGCGAAAATAACCGGAGTCCGTCCCTGTTACCATACGCTTCCAAACAAAACTGTCTAAAATTGTTAATATTTTTAAATCCAGCATAAACAACTAGGTTAGAATACCAAATTTTATGACTTTATCTCAACACGTTTCGGAAATATTAAGGAAAAACCATCTTCAGGGGAGCCCCTTTAAAAGACAGGCAGCAGCGGTGGCCGCAGTAGTAGACTCTTCGGTCTCCTGATCAATCGCCGTGCGCTTTGCGGGTTCGAGTCTCGTCCCAGGAGAAATTTTTCTCTTGGCTATGGATGTTGTGATTGTCCGTAGGTGGTAGACGTTCTCTGACTGTCGAAGCCGGAAGTACCACCCGGCGTTCCCCCTTTCCCATGTATCCCCCTATAGCCCCACGGTACCCAAATGGGTGCTTAGGCCTTAGGCCTTCGTGGTAGTTGGAGTATATATAAAAAAAAAGACCGTAGCGCACTTAGGGGACGTTTGTCGACCTATGTTTATATAAACTTTTCTTCCTATTTTGAGCTCTAGAAACAGCTGGTAGCATATTGCACACTTTTTTCGGGACACCCTGTATATATGTATCTATTCGGTTCATAGTTATTGTCGAAATAACCAGTTAAATCGAAGACATTTTCTTTGGGATATAGTAAATTATGCTAATTATGCTTTTGACTTCCAATACTCAAGCTTTCGACAGACTAGGCTGTCATCATCAGGAGCTAAAAAATAAAATAAAAATAGTAAAACAGCAACCATCCTCAATTAATTAGAAATCTTTTTGCTAACTCCGTCAGTGAGAATGGTGCTAATATTCGGTGATCAAAAAACTGGATCTACGTCAAAAAACGATGCAACAACATGACTGTGTTTTAATACTCCACTGCAGAAGGATTTGAACAACAATTAATTAAATATTTTTTTTCCAAATAACTTTTCAAATTTACATTTTTGAATAACCTAAAAACGCTAGCGTGGTCGAGAGGTTAGACATTTTTGTGTGAAGTTGGTATCATTTTCGTTCAGGCAGTAGAACTGGAGCTGTTTTTTTGTTGAAAAAACAAAATGTGTGCGACACATTAAGAGGAGCGTTAGTTTTAGTAAAAAACGTAATAAAAAAGTTTCGGAATTTATTGTGAAAAAATTATTTTAGTTAAATTATATTGTTGATGTAAAATTAAGAGTCACCACTTAGCAAAATTGGTTGATGTAATCAAAGACTTGTCCTGGAGAAAAAGGGGGAGAAAAATATTATTTTATTGGAAAACCTGTTGGTTTTACCTATTGTAACTGTTATATCTGCTATTGTGACAAATCAATATTGGGAGAAATGTTTAACCGTTCCAATTTTTCGCAATTTAGCAATTATGAGTACATAACACTAAGTTGCTTGACATCGGCCTTTTTGTTCATACAACTGTCAGTCATGAAGATGTGTGACATTTCTAAGAATAAACGTTTAGATACATGTTCTTCTTTATCAAGGACCTTGATATTGTTATAGCACAACGAGTGACCTGTAGTGTTTACATGTGACGCCAACGCACATCTTTAGGGATGCAATCTGGAATCATTCCTGTGGGATGTTATTCTGCCCTTTAGTGATCTAGAAGCTTGTCCTATGTATATCAAATTACAACCATTACAATTAATGCGGTAGAGAGTATTGGTTAAGCCAAGCATCGGAGCTCGATCTTTCATTTTGCAAAAGATATCTGTTAGAAGAGATTTACAGGTAATACGACAATTTAAAGTGTTACAAGGTCTGGCCAGTTTTGGAGTTAAATCTTGAATGTATGGTTATTTTATAAAACTAATTCGAGAATTTCATGGTGTATTGGCATTATTATTGTGAGAATTGTTTGTAATGTTGTTGGAAGGGGTGGAATTATTATTATCATTGTTTGGATTTGGCACAATACTAGAAGGAGAGCTGAACAAGATTATGTTAATCAAGTACCTTGGTTAACCATTGTTCATGAAGAGTGTTGAAGGTTTTCTTAGATACGAGATGTGGAAGGTATTGTCAGAGATGCCAATTAAAGTTGTTTTCATTTGATTCACCAAATTCACCTTTATTTGTTATGGTAAGACCTGAAATTTAGATACCTTCCTGAGGATATTGGTTTCATGTAACATTCTACCAATAAGATGTTGATGTTGTTTCGGATGACACTCTTGACTCCAAAAATGGGACTGATTGATTTTCATATTCTTTTTCAATGGTGAATTGAATGTAGCGGTCATAGCTATTGCAGACTTCAAGATCATCCACTTGTGACGGAAGCCAGACAATGATGTCGTCTATATACTTCTTTACGAAACATAGCTTGTAAGGTATAACTTGAACAACAATATCAAGCAGGTCATCCATATTCTGCCAAAATTGGTGATAGTACTGAGCCCATTGGGCAACCGTGTTTTTGTGAAAATACTTTATTGATTGTAAAATAATTGTTATGGAAAAGGTATTCTAAAATGGTAACAAATGAATCCAGAGTTGGATTTCAGCTTTGAAATATCTGATCCCAGTATTTATTGATGGATCTAATGTAAGCATCTAGGTAAGCATTACTAAAAAGTGCAACTCGTCAAGACTGGCAATGACGTGACCAGGTGGTATTTGTATCCTATTAAACTGTTGGGAGACATCGGAAGAGTCTTTAGTGTAGTATTCACCTTTAACATGAGATTCCTTTAAAATATTTGAGATCAATCGGGATAGAGCTTGCATGGCTCAACCAGTTGAAGCGACTACAGGTCTTACTGATAGAACCGGTTTATGTATCTTAGGAAGAACATAAAATTTTGGGGAAACAGAATTATAAGTGGTTCAAGATTTTTTCTGGTCTTGATTCACTTGTCCAGTGTTAAAGAGTTTTGCCGACAATGTCATTACAACCTTTTTCTACTCTTGGAGTAGGGTCTCTATTAAGTTCAGTATAGGAAGGATCATTTTCAATAAAGCTGTTACATAGATCAAAATATTGTTGCATTAACGTTATCACTGTGACATTGCCTTTGTCAGATCTTGCGACAATTAGATCAAGATGTTCTTTCAGGAATTTTCTCGTTTTGTTTAAAATATTGTGATAGAAAGAGTATTTTTTGTTGATATTATTGGAGTGATAGTAATTAATGACAATGTTAGTGGAACAAGTTGTGAAAATATTTCTGTCTGTCCCATTGTTGATGGAAGAGGCTATTACGTCTACATCAACTAGAATAGACCTAATTGGGATGTCCTTGACAACTGGTTCAACACTAAACTTTGGATCTGACGAAACAAATCTAGAAACTGCTTTTTTGAATATTTTTTTATACTCCAGCTACCACGAATGCCTAAGGCCTAAACACCGATGGGGTACCGTGGGGCTATAGGGGGATACAGGGGAAAAGGGGGGACGCCACACTGACTCTAGCGAAAGAACACGTGTGCATGTAGCATGCACACATTCTGGCCCCGCATACGAGATCCGCCGGGTAGTATTTTCGCGTACGACAGTCATAGACCGCCTACCACCTACGTTCAATAGCAACATCCATAGCTAAGAGAAAAATATCTAAGGAGACGGAGCTTCTACCACTGCAGCCACCGCTGCTGACCATGATATCAAAGATGCGGTCTGTTCGTGATTAGTCTTAATGGCTGCGCTCATTTCTTAGAGCATCTGCATCATAGCGATCACATGGGAAGCCATAGTTCTGGTGGTAACCAGCATTTACTGAACTCACTGCTTGAATGATTTCTGAGGAACTTCTGACCACTTGTAGCTTCAAGTTCGTGGATGTACTTAAAATCTCACTTCTCGACATCAATTGTCATCAATAACCACTTCTTGCCGTTTTATTCATTCAAAAACTCACAAAACCAACTTTCCCGGAACTTACCACTACACACTTCCTTATATCCTACATAGTCGTAGTGACATGTGACGATCAATTTATAGAAAACTCGAGAACTCCAGAAACTATGAACATCTATCTGACAACATCTACAATTTGACTACACATGACAGAACTCAGTTTTGGTGACTTTTTCAATACAAGTAATTAAGTATTATGTAAACTTTTTTTACACAGGAATGTCAACAGTACTAAGGTTCTTATCCAGTTAGACTGAGTGCCAAGCAAAGTTCTCACAGAGTCATCTAATAATCTGCCAAATTTAACTATCTTGACTGCATGGATTGAAAATTTTCAAAAAATTAATGGGGTTATGGAAGAAAAATTGTATCATTTTTTAGTGATTTTAGTGACGAATGAAGTAATTTCAACTGTTTGTTACAGGAAGAGATCTCAAGTGACAAAAGTCTTGCACCTAACCTTTGTATTGAAGAATTAAGCCCGTATTCTGCAGATGGTTGTGTAAAATGTGATTGATGGATCTCAGATGATGGGTGATATGTGGAGGAGTGATCCCATTTTTTTCTGCACTTGATTAGGAATATTCATCTGTTAAGTTCGTGTGCCAACCGCTTTCTGCCGTTGATCCAGTCCTTCATGATCCTCACCGTGTGAATCTCGTTGAGATGCTCGATGTTACGAAAGAAACCCAAATCTGTGGATTGTATGCGATTCATAGTTATTTTCGAAATAACCAGTTAAATGGAAGAATTTTTCTTTGGGATATCAACAAATTATGCCAAGTGTAGAGACTATGCTGCTATCATCAGGAGCTAAAAACAAATTAAAAATAGTAAACATGTTCAATTGATTAGAAATCTTTTTACTTCCTCCGCCAGTGAGAATGGTGCTAGTATTCGATGTTAAAAAATGTAAAGGAGGACACATGGGAAGGTGATCAAATAACTGGATCTACGTCAAAAAACGATGCAACAGCATGACTGTGTTTTAATACTCCACTGCAGAAGGATTTGGACAATAATTAATTAGATAATTCTTTTTAAAATGCTAGCGTGGTCGAAAGGTTAGAAAATTTTTTGTGAAAAAAAAATTATATAATCAACTGTTGTCCAAATCCTTCTGCAGTGGAGTATTAAAACATAGTCATGTTGTTGCATCGTTTTTTGACGTAGATCCAGTTCTTTGATCACCTTACCATGTGTACTCTTTTATATTTTTTAACAAAGAATACTAGCACCATTCTTACTGAAGGAGTAAGTAAAAAGATTTCTAATCATTTGAGCTCGGTTGCTATTTTATTATTTTTATTTGTATTTTAGCTCCTGATGATGGCATGATAGTCTGTTAAAAGCTTGAGTATTGTGAGTCAAAAGGGTGCACTTAGCATAATTTGTCGATATCCCAAAGACAAAGTCTTCCATTTAACTGGTTATTTCGACAATAACTATCAACCGCATGCAATCCACAGATTTGGGTTTCTTCCGTAACATCGAGCATCCCTACGGCAGAAAGCGGTTGGCACATGAACTTAACAGACAAATATTCCTAATCAAGTGCAGAAAAAATTGAATCATCCACCACATATCACCCATCATCTAAGATCCATCAATCACATTTTACACAACCACCTGGCAGAAGAGGGGCTTAATTCTTCTATACAAAGGTTAGGTGCAAGACTTTTGTCACTTGAGATCTCTTCCTGTCACAAACAGTTGAAATTACTTCATTCGTCGCTAAAATCACTAAAAAATGATATCATTTCTTCCACAACCCCATTAATTTATAACAATATTCAAGCCATGCAGTTGAGACATTATAATACTTTGTTTCACGACATTAAAAGATCTAACATTCGCAAGTTTGGCAGATTATTAGATGACTGTGAGAACTTTGCTTGACACTCAGTCTAACTGGATTAAGAACCTTAGTGTTGAACCAGTTGTCAACAAGGGCATCCCAATTAGGTCCATTCTAGCTTATGTAGACTTAATAGCCTCTTCCAGCAATAATGAGACAGACAGAAATATTTTTACAGTTCGTTACACTAACATTATCACTAATTACTATCACTCCAATAATAACAAAAAATCCTTGTTCTACCACAATCTTTTAACCAAAACGAGAAAATTCCTGAAACAACATCCTGATCTAATTGTCACAAGATCTGACAAAGGCAATGTCACAGAAATAATGTTAAGGCAACAATATTTTGATCTATGTAACAGCTTAATTGAAAATGATCTTTCCTATACTGAACTCAATAGAGACCCTACTCCAAGAGTAGAAAAAGGTTGTAATGACATTGTTGCCAAACTCTTCAACACTGGATAAATCAATCAAGACCAGAAAAAAAATATTTAACCACTTATAATTGTGTTTCCTCAAAATTGTATGCTCTTCCTAAGATACATAAATCGGTTCTACCAGTAAGACCTATAGTTGCTTCAATTGGTTCAGCCACGCAAGCTCTATCCCCATTGATCTCGGATATTTAAAAGTCAGCCCATGTTAAAGGTGAATAATACATTAAAGACTCTTTGGATGTCTCCCAATAGTTTAATAGGCGACAAATACCACGTAGTCAAGTCATTGCCAGTCTTGAAGTAGTTTCACTTTTTAGTAATGTTTACCTAGATGCTTGCATTAGATCCATGAATAAACACTGGGATCAAATATGTCAATGCTGCAATCTAACTCTCTATTCATTTTTCTCTATTTCAGAATACCTTTTCCATAACAATTATTTTACATTCAATAATAAAGTATTTTCACAAAAACACGGTTGCCCAATGGGCTCAGTACTATCACCAATTTTGGCAGAATATCTGATGGATGAGCTGCTTGATATTGCTGTTCAAGTCTTACCTTACAACCTATGTTTCATAAAGAAGTATGTAGACATCATTATCTGTCTTCCGTCACAAGTGGATGATATTGTCGAAGTCTGCAATAGCTATGACCCCTACATTCAATTCACCATTGAAAAAGAAGATGAAAATCAATCAGTCCCATTTTTGGACTCAAGAGTCATCCGAAACTACATCAACATCTTATTGGTAGACTGGTACATGAAACCAATATCCTCAGGAAGGTTTCTAAATTTCAGGTCTTGCCATAACATAAAAATAAAGGTGCATTTGGTGAATCAAATGAAAACAAGGGTAATTGGCATCTCTGACAATACTTTCCACATCTCGAATCTAAGAAAACTTTCAACACTCTTCATGAACAATGGTTATCCAAGGTACTTGATTAACAGAATCTTGTTCAGCTGTCCTTCTAGTATTGTGCCAAATCCAAACAATGATATTAATAATTCCACCCCTTCCAACAACATTACAAGCAATTCTCATAATAATAATAATGCCAATACACCATCAAATCTCAGAAATGATTTTGTCACATCGCCATACATTCAAGATTACACTCCAAAACTCGCCAAACTTTGTAGCACTTTAATTTGTCGAATTACCTGTAAATCAATCAATAATGTGTTTTCCAAAATGAAAGATAGAGTTCCGATGCTTAGCTTAACCAATACTGTTTACTCCATTAATTGTAATGGTTGAAATTTCATATACATAGGTCAAACTTCTAGATCACTAAAGGACAGCATAACATCCCACAGGAGTGATTCCTGATTGCATCCAGAAAGATGTGATTTGGCGTCACATGTAAACACTACAGGTAACTCGATGTGCTATAACAATATCAAGGTCCCTGATAAAGAAGAACATCTCTCTAAACGTTTATTCTTACAGATGTCACACATCTTCATGACTGACAGTTGTATGAACAAAAAGGCTGATGTCAAGCAACTTAGTCTTATCTATTCATATTTGCTAAATTGCGAGAAATTGGAACGATTATACATTTCTCCCAATATTGATTTGTCACAAAACAGTTATAACAGTTACAATAGGTAAAACCAACAGGTTTTCTAATAAAATGATATTTTTCTCTTCCTTTTTCTCCAGGGCAAGTCTTTGATTACATCAACCAATTTCCAAGTGGTGACTCAATTTTACATCAACAATATAATTTAAGAAAAATAATTTTTTCACAATAAGTTTCGAACTTCTGTTACGTTTTGTACTAAAACTAACACTCATTTTGTTTTTTGAATAAAAAGCCTGTTCCCCTTCTGCTGCCTGAACGAAAATGATACCAACTTCACACAAAGATTTCTGACCTCTCGACCACGCTAGCATTTTTAGGTTATTCAAAAATGTAAATTTGAAAAGTTGAATGAAAAAAAATATCCAATTGTTGTCCAAATCCTTCTACAGCGGAGTATTAAAACACAGCCATGTTGCTGCATCATTTTTTGACGTAGATTCGGTTTCTTGATTACCTTACCGTGTGTCCTCTTTTACATTGTTTAACATCGAATACTAGCATCATTCTCACTGACGGAGTAAGTAAAAAGATTTCTAATCAATTGAGCATGGTTGCTATTTTACTATTTTTAATTTGTTTTTTAGCTCCTGATGATGTAAGCATAGTCTGTCGAAAGCTTGAGTAGTTGCATATGTGCATTCATTTCGGGCCTGATGGAGCCAACCAGCAGAAATACGTATCGCTCAGGTTATCTATCGTATTTTCTGCTCGAGACCATTTTCCTTCTTTTTGTGGATTTTGCCCATTATTTTCCTATTATTTGTTATATATATATATATATATACGTAAAGGATCATGCGGAGAAAGGTATATAACAAACAGAAAAAATAATGGGCAAAATTCGCAAAAAGAGGGAAAGTGGATTAGAGCAGAAAATAGAATAGATAACCCGAGCAATAGTATTTCTACTTGTTGGCTTCATCAGGCTGGAAATGAATACACATATGCAATTACAAAAGTAGATACACATGCCCATACTTCCGGATACGGGTGTAACCTAAGGAAACGAAGATGGAGAGGGAATAATAACAATAACAGCCAACCTTGCTATACAGATTACTTACCCCAGGGCTGTGGTCTCATCTGTTTTCGTTCTTGATAATGTCTCTTTTGCTCCTCCAACTTCCTGCGCACCCTCCTTAATTCTTCTGAAACTTGCCTCCCATCAGCCATTATACCGTCAGCAGCTACAGCCGCCCATGCTTCATCCAACTGGCGTTTACGTAAATGATGGCGCGCAGTCAGCGCCAGAAAGTTCCTGCGCCTGCGCTTCACCAATGTTGAATCCGAATGTAGCTTGCAGTGCGCGTAGAAGGGATCGGCTTGATCAACTTCTTCTGTATGAGCTTCCGAAAGGAATCCTTCACGTTGAGCGCTAAAAGAAACAAAATGTATCATGGCACATGTCGTCTACGATACGCTATTTTGAGCTGGGGAGGTGCCGCATATTGTCATTTGCAGCGTCTGGATATACTGCAAAAAATAATGTTGAAAGTAATAACTGGCAAAAAAATTACTTGTCCTTCTGATAAATTATTTTTAGAGACTGGAGTGTTTGACCTAAGGCAACTGTTTCTGCATGAATTAATTCAATTCATATACAAACACAAAAACAACTTCAATAAAACTAGCCATACTTATAGTACCAGATATAAAGAAAAAAAAACTCAAAAATACAAACTTTTCAAAGAAATGTAAGCTTGGGATGCCACACCTACCTATCATGTAAAATTTATAATTGTTTGCCATACTACATGTACCGTACGTATGTTGATAAAATAAAACTCATTGTCTTTGGTAAAATCTTTATTTAAAAAATACATTTTTTTAATTGGCAGACAAGAGACGAAATCTAGTAGAAATTATTTACTAGAAATCGTACTACGCTAGTATTACTCCTCCTCATCCTCAATATTTCTGTAGTTAGTGGAATAAACTATTATAAAGTGCTACTCCTCCTTACCTTCCATACTTACAATGTGCTTTTGTTGCATAAAATCCTGCTCTAAGCAAAATTTATTATCAAAATTATATAAAAAAAATATAAATAAATCTGCCCGTGCACAACAAACTATTTTGGTTTCAATGGGCTTTACAGGACAATTTAATAATTTTCTGTGACTTATAAAACATGTTAACTCAAGATTATTTTGTGAAAGTCAGGTATTATGTTTTATTTTACGTTTATTATTGTACTGAAGTTAGCATTTGTATTTATTAACACATTTTATTATGAAGAAAAATAAACGTATACTACTACTACTACTACATCTTTATAGTCAACGCCAAACAAAGTGGCGTGCACGTCATCAAGGTGGGTGTGTTGAAAAATTTACATTGTTGCCAAACTTTTTGTAAAATAATAAAATTTATTATTTACATATCTAGGTTTATAAGCAATATTAACCTCAAATGAGAACAAAAATAATAGTATAATAAAATTATAGATCTGTACTTGCATAATCATTAAGTATGATAATTATTGATCAGATGACACTATGAAACTACCATATTTAATTGATAGCTTAAAGGTACTGAATAAAAATCCAAATGGGGTCCTCCAAATTTTATGCATGGTATTTATTTTACAGAATTCATACAGAAAAATGCATTCTAAAATTAGGTAAGCTACTGGTGTAAGCTTTTTCTGTACAATAAAGTTAGTCGGAGTTTCTTTCTTCAGCGCTGTCTGAATCTGAATCTTCATCACTCTCAAAGTTGATTATTAAAGGTTCGATGTCTGGTCGATCAAAAATTCGTTCTCTTTCATACCATTTAAAAATTTCTTGCTCAGTATGTCGAACACTATTTTTCCACATGTCTGGGGTAACCGTTTGTAGAGCCTCGTTCCACATATCCAAACAGTCTTTTTCACTGTTACCATCTCTACCAATATATCTGTTATAGTAACCTTTTGCTATGCCCCAAATTAACTCAATAGGGTTAAATATACAATGGTAAGGAGGCAGACGAAGAACTTTGTGCCCATGTTGTTCCGCCAATTCATCAATCACGTATATTTTAGGTGGTTTGTTTCTAAAAAAGCAGTTATTTTAAGAATAGGAATAAACAAAAGAAATATAAACTGTCGACCAAAATATATATATAATTAAGAAGCATTATGTACAGAGCAACAATACTCAATAGCTCTGTTTTAAACATTGTGCCACCAACTATGCTCATAAAATTTAGTGTAACACTGTGTACTGCTCCGCCGCTAATGACCATCAGGCCGATGCGGCAATTGTATTTTTTTTTATTGAATAAAAAAAAAACTTGGAATATTTGCAATTGAAATACTCCGCTACCCTCCGGTTCGCAGCATTGAGTCTCCGAAAATACTCGAATTAACTATATTGACAAGCCAACCAAAAGCCGTATGATACATCGCCCATCAAAATACCCTCCAATTCACAAAATCAGAATGGGACACCAAAGTCAGGCGGGTCTGTCTGGCAGGCACATCGTGCGGCGGCATCATGGAAGAGAGCTCTGAGGAGCAAAACTCGTTGATATAGCGGGAGAAAAGAGCTAGATCGCCGACGGCCCGCCGGTGCGAAAGAGTACCGAGACTTTCTGTTAGAGAAGAGTCATCGATCAGTCGGACCTTGTATAAAATGAGAAGGTCGTGTGAAGAAAAGTACTTCTTAGCCCTAAAAAGATAGCCTAGCTTTTTCCCAGCAGCTGCAGCTATTGACGAAACGTGGTCGTGCCAGATCAGGTCCTCGGTGATCTGGACTGCCACCAGCCGAAATGAATGGCTCTTTGCAGAACTCGGCCATCCATCGAAACCGGATGAGCGATAGGACGCTTTTTGTTCTTTTTTCCATGGTGGGGTTTTCAGCAAAGATCTTGCACCTTTGAGTCGAATACAATAGTTCCATCCTGACACGTAAGTGGTGGAAGGCTACTACTGTGTGAGAAGTTCTTTTCAATCTGCTTAGCCAGCGTCCAGAAGGACCGACTGCCATTGCGCCGCGACATCACCCTGTGCCTAATTTTTATATCGTGCTGGTTTTTGGCATTGCGAACCGCTTCGTTATATTTGTTTCTGGACTCGACGTCGGCTTGTCTGTTCTCTAAAGTGGGGTTTTGTAAGAAGGTTCTGTGTGCCTTGATCTTCTGCTGGCGAGCAGTGTCACACGATTTGTTAAACCAGCCGTTGGACCCTGGTTTAGGCACCTTCACTGTGTGAGGGATGTATTCCTCCATTCCGACATGGATAATTTCTGTTATCGAAGAACGGGCAGCCGACGCATCCGTGTCAGTGAAACAGACATCTCTCCAAGGAAAGTTAGAGAAGAAGTCTCTGAGCCCCTCCCAGTCGGCATGTCCATAATGCCAAGTTTTGCGGCCTGTACAAGTTTCTGCTGCCACAGCGGGTTGTGATCGAAACCTAACCTCCACAACACCGTGGTCTTGGGTTACCCAGGGGGGACAGGACAGCAGTGCTGTAAGGGACAGGATGCGTGGTCAGAAAGAGATCCAGCAGGCTACTGGCGTGTGACGAGACGCAGGAGAAAAAAGTAGGACTCGTCATCAGCTGGGTCAGCCCTTGAGTAAGAGCGAACGCTTCGACTGCACGACTTGCTGCATCGGTTGTTTGAGCCCAAAAAAAGCTGATTATAGGCATTGAAATCACCGAGAAGAACTACCTCTGAAGCGGGGTGATTGATGCTCAGGAAGTCGATCTGAAGGTTTATTGATAATAGAATACCTTTAACTAATACCTAGCCAAATCCAGATTCATTTCCTCAGCCCCCCTACCCCCAAAAATTATTCTGAAAACGATTAGGAAGCGCTAAAATATTCAGAAATACTTTAAACGATTTTCAGTTTTTCCGTTGTTTAATACTAGCTCCGCCGCCCGTAACCCCCGCCATCTAAATTGACAGCCCTAAAATTTTCTTGGTGGAATGTCTGAAACATCCGGAAGCGAAGTTTGACCATTTTTTTCTTCGTTTGTTAACCACTCTGCTGTTACTCCACCGATTTCCGAGAATATTCAAGGGTATTTGTGCATGACATAACAGCAACCTAAAGCAGATTTTTTTATGATTACAATAATTCCTGTCAATAGGCGCGGTAAGTAAAGGCATCTGTCTTAAATCGTAAAACAAAAATAACATCTTTTATTTTATTCCATAGAATATTGGATTTGAGCATTACATTCAAACAAATATCATCGCTGCATTACGGTACTCCCGGTCACGGCCGCTCGTATGTAATACTTGACGGCGAACTGGGCCGTAGCAGACATAGGAAGGTGAAAATCCAATCCTTTTGCAAAACAACTCTAATAAATGCCTAATACAGCGATTCCAATATTAAGGAGGACCTAAAGGCGACAATTTAGATACTGAATACCCGGCAGATGACCTATCCACTGTAGACTTGATTGGAAGTATACGGGCTAAATACCCGCGCGACTGTGAGTCCACCAAATCGGCGTGGCAAAGCCCGGAACTACGGTACCCAAATTTATCAAAAACACGATTTGGGTCATCCCACTGGAATTTTGCCGGGTGACAAAGGGGAGCCCCTCAGGCCGACTGGTGAAATTTGCGATAGGTCCTCCATATATGGAGGACCTATCGACTCTAAAATCCAATAAGTGGAGAACCTAACTATCGGAATCTGTATGTATGTAGATACATATATATATATATATATATATTTACATACATATACACATATATATATATATTTACATCTCCACGGGGATAGGTCCTCCTTTCATAAACCAGCAATAAGTCACCCACCAGAAATACTGAATATATATCAAATTTAATTCGTGAATATCCGACACCAAGACACGTTGATCCAAGATCAGTTAAAAAAACTATACATTAACATTTCGGATTTCCATACAAAGTCCGCTATATGTCTCCCTTTCAAAAACCGTATGATGTGTCCTCTACCGGAATACCCTCCAGATAACAAAGCAGCATTAGGTCCTCCAGAATACTCAAATTATCTAAACACCAGTGAATAAGCCCTCCGTGTAGTGGTGCCAAGTTTCAGTTATTTCTCTCAAGATAATACAATTGAAGTCTCCTAACTCGGGCTTCTATTATTCTATTACCTTCCAAGGATCTCCATTCAGCAACATTAAGTACACTAATTACTCGATTGAGACTATACAAAACATCGCTAGCATGCGAATGAAGGATGCCCAACTTGTTTCGTAAATTTGTAACTCATGCAAAAAATGCTGTGACTATGCACTGAACTTATCGGAACATCGAGCAGCCCACAAAATCAAGGATACCTTCTAAAAAGCAAAAGCCAAAAAACGTTTTTGAGTTTCAAAAATTGTCGAACCCATCCTAAAGAAAAACTGAACATGACGATACCCCCAACAAACATAAACAAGAATCCATAATTTCCTATCACTTGTTTACATCTCATCACTCCAACTGCTATTGAAATCAGCGCAGATGCTACTGGGATTATGCGCTAATAAAATCGCCAACAGACAAACCGACGGAATTGAAAAACATGGCTTTTTGTGATATAGATATAAAGCCTTAAAAACGTACTTTCAAACTTGGAATATTTGCAATTGAAATACTTCACTACCCTCCGGTTCGCAGCATTGAGTCTCCGAAAATACTCGAATTACTTTCCTCCTCGCTTGCCATCACGTGACGTTATTTTTGGATAAGGAAATCAAGCTTTACTTGATTTTTTCTAGTAGCTCGGAATTAACTATATAGACACGCCAACCAAAAGCCGTATGATACATCGCCCATCAAAATACCCTCGATTCACAAAAAACAGCACTGAGTCTCCCAAAATACTCGAATTTACTAAACACTGTTAGATCAGTGTTAGACAGCAGTGCTGAGTCCTCCACAATACCCGAATTAACTGAACCGCGTCATATCGGTCTCTCGATCACCTGAATTCCATTCCGTCCATAAATCAGATGCCTCCGAGTAGGATAGAACTATGTCTATCTTTCATCTATGTTCTGAGAATTCATGGACATGCAAATCTGTTGTGTACTCAAGAGTGTACCAAGCAAAAAATCCGCATGCTCTGACTAGCACACGTCTGAGAAAGCACTTGAAATCGTGACCCAGTTGTTCAACATGTCAAAAAATGACGTGGAACAACTCGCATCTTTTATGGGACATACACTTGGTACACCGTGCATCATACCGATTACCAGATGATGTCTACCAAACGGCTAGACTCTCCAAGAATCTGAAGTTGATGGAGAAGGGCGAGGCCGGTCATTTTACAAAAGAAAATCGCTAATTTGCATCTAGACGAGAATTTGATATCAGAAGCACAGCAAGAGAAGAATCACCTAGAACCTCTATATCAATATGAAGATATCCAAGGACCGTATCCAGATTCGGAATCTCAACAAGTGTATATAATTTTTCCGAATGAAAATACCAGGGTTGTAGTTCCTTGGACTAAAGACCAGAGACATCTAGTCTTAGCTCATTTTCAAAATCACATTAATGCTAAAAGGTTCATGCATCATTCGAATCGCCTTTCGCTAAGAAATGTTTAAACTTTTCTGTTATAGATAAAATAAAGAAAAAATGTCGATTGGTGCTTTGTTGGGACTGTATGGCACGGCATTCTGAACTAATCCATTGACTCGAAAATGCGCCATACAACCCTGATCTAGCACCAACAGATTTCTAACTTTCCCAAACGTTAAAAAATTTTTCAGTGGAAAGCGATTGGAAAATGATGAATTATGGAATAAACTGTTATTTACGGGTTGAAAAGCTGATGTCATGACTCAACGAATATTAGAACTTTAAAGACAATTATTTTGTTAAGTGGAAACATTGTCATACTTTTGTGATAAAATTTACGTTTATAAACAGAATTCCCTTCATCTCATTGTAAAACCGTTGTTGCTTGAAAAACGAAGTAATTTTAAATTACAGCTGACGAATGTCACTATTTTTTCTGAATCTTTAGTATGGTAGATCACAAACCTTCTGTTCTGGTATTAGTGGTTTTATTTTTTCAACATTATATATTCAGTTATGTATGATTACCTTCGTAACTAAAATTTAAACTGATATTTTTTGGGTGTATCCTTCGCTCCTATAACCGCATGCTTGTCGTTTCCGAAGCAAAATATATGTATTTTACATACATATCATAAAAACGAATCAACTGATTTATCGTGTTAAGTAATTTAAATCTACATTTGCCATACTTTGATGAGCCGTCTTATAGACATAAAATGAGATAGAGCCCTTATCCTAATTTTCTATTTTGAATTCAGATGTCTCATGTATGTATGAAGATTCCGGAGGATAACGAATATCAAAGGTTTTTTTTGTTTTTTATATCGAAGCAGCCGCGCAGGCAGAAGCCTAAATGCCGGAACACCGCGGCTGCTATAATGATCCCAAAGAAATGTTGAAAATACGATTTTTGAACTGCCTAAGGTTAGTATAACTACTCTTGTAGATTATTCCACAATCTCGACACCCTCGGGACAAAGGAGCGGTCGTATCGGCCAGTTTTGGATGTACGAAGTTCGACACGGTTAGGATGGGACGTCAAAGTCGGGCGGGTCTGTCTGGCAGGCACATCTCGCGGTGGCATCACGGAAGAGAGCTCTGCGGAGCAAAGCCCGTTGGTATAGCGGTAGAAAAGAGCTAGATCGCCGATGGCCCGCCGGTGCGAAAGAGTCCCGAGACTGTCTGTTAGAGAAGGGTCATCGATCAGTCGGACCGCCCTCCTCTGGACAGCACCGAGCATGGAAAATGTAGTCGGGGCGGCAGCACCCCAAACGTGTGAGCAATACTCGAGGCTAGGCCTTATCTGGGCCTTGTATAGAATGGGAAGATCGTGCGGAGAAAAGTACTTCTTAGCCCTAAACAAATATCCTAGCTTGAGCGTGTTCGTGCCAGATCAGGTCCTCGGTGATCTGGGCCCGACCAGCCGAAATGGATGGGTCATTGGCAGAACTCGGCCATCCATCGAAACCGGATGAGCGCTAGGACACTTCTTGGTTCGTCAAAGTACAGTACTGTGTTTTGGAAGCATTGAACTGTACAAGATTGTTGCGTCCCCAAGCAGTGATAGCCTCCAGGTCTCTTGTCAGAGAGGGAGTCCTCGCTAGTCTTCTTTTTTCCAGCTCAGCGGCAGAGATCGGCTTGTCACTCTGAATTCCTGCATGTAGAGCGCTGACATCAGCGAAGCTGTGGATTGGGTTGATCGTGCTGGAAAGGAGGTCGTGGATATGTAAGAGAAACTGTCGGAGCCAAGACCGATCCCTAGGGAACACCCCGTTGTGGGCATGAAGAGGAGAACCCGTCAATTACTAAGGATATCTTGCGGCCAGAGATAAAGTCAGCCACCCATCTGCAAAGCTTTTCTGGGAGGCCATAGGATGGAAGTTTGCTTAAGAGGGCAGCGTGCCACAGCGGATCGAACGCTTTCGTGATGTCAAGAGCAACGACATGAGCCTCACCATAAGACTGGATGAGTTTACTTCACAATTGCGTGACGTAAGCTAGGAGGTCCCCTGTGGCGTTCGAGGTAGTCCAGAAGCTCGCGATTTATGCACCTCTCCATAACCTTATTTATAACAGAAAGCAGAGCTATAGGCCTGTAGTTTTAAGGGTCGGTCTTAGATCCTTTTTTTGGGATGGGTTGGACATGAGCAAATTTCCAGTTTTCTGGGAAGGTGCCGGATTCATAAGATATCTGGAAGAGACACGAAAGAACTGGACCAAGCTCCGCTGCACACCTCTTCAGTACAGTGGTGGGAATCACGTCCGGACCAGAAGCTTTGTTGATGTCGAGCGACAAGAGCACTCGCCTTGCGGTCTTATGCCTGATTGTTATCTCCCACATAGTGTAGGGAACTCTTTGAATTGACGGCACTTAGGCGTCGGGAAGGACGTCCATGGTGGAGTTGGCAGCAAAGATCTTGGCTAGCACTTGCGCCTTGGCCTTTGAGTCGAATACAATAGTTCCATCCTGACACGTAAGTGGTGGAAGGCTACTGTGTGAGAAGTTCTTTTCAATCTGCTTGGCCAGCGTCCAGAAAGACCGACTACCATTGCGCTGCGACATTACGCTTTGCCTAACTTTTATATCGTCCTGGTTTTTGACATTCCGAACCGCTTCGTTATATTTGTTTCTGGATTCGATGTCGCATTGTCTGTTCTCTACAGTGGAGTTTTGTAAGAAGGTTCTGTGTGCCTTGATCTGCTGGCGAGCAGTGTCGCACGATTTGTTAAACCAGCCGTTCGACCCTGGTTTAGGCACTTTCACTGAGTGAGAGATGCATCGGCGTCAGTGAAACAGACATCTCTCCAAGGAAAGTTAGAGAAGAAGTCTCTGAGCCCCTCCCAGTCGGCATGTCCGTGATGCCAAGTTTTGCGGCCTGTACGAGTTTCTGCTGCCACAGCGGGTTGTGACCGAAACCTAACCTCCACAACACCGTGGTCTGAGTTACCCAGGAGGGACAGGACAGCAGTGCTGTAAGGGACAGGATGCGTGGTCAGAAAGAGATCCAGCAGGCTACTGGCGTGTGACAAGACGCGGGGGAAAAAAGTAGGGCTCGTCACTAGCTGGGTCAGCCCTTGAGTAAGAGCGAACGCTTCGACTGCACGACCTGCTGCATCGGTCTTGTTTGAGCCCAACCAAAGCTCATTATGGGCATTGAAATCACAGATAAGAACTACCTCTGAAGCGGGGTATTTAATGTTCAGGAAGTCGATCTGAAGGTTTATTGATAATAACTAACACCTAGCCAAATCGAGATTCAACCCATTCCCTCAGCCCCCTTACCCACAAAAATTATTCGAAAAACGATTAGGGAGCTCCAAAATATTCAGAAATAGTTTTAACGATTTTTAGTTTTATCGTTGTTTAATACTAGCTCCGCTGCCTGCAACCCCCGCCACCAAAATCCACAGCCCTAAAATTTTCTTGGAGGAATGTCTGAAACATTCGGAAACGAGGTTTGACCATTTTTTCTTCGTTTGTTACTCCACCGATTTCCGAGAATATTCAAGGCTCTTTGTGCATGGCATAACAGCAACCTAAAGCAGATTTTTTTATGATTACAATAATTCCTGTTAATAGGCGCGGTAAGTCAAGGCATCATCTGTCTTAAATCGCAAAACAAAAATAACATCTTTCATTTTATTCCATAGAATTTTGGATTTGAGCATTACATTCGAACAAATAACATCGCTGCATTACGGCACTCCCGCTCACGGCCGCTAGTGTGTAATAATTGACGGCGAACTGGGCCGTATCAGACGTAGGAAGATGAAAATCCAATCCTCTTGCAAAACAATTCTAATAAATGCCTAATACAGCGATGCCAATATTAAGGAGGACCTAAAAGCTACAATCTAGATACTGAATACCCGGCAGATGACCTATCCACTGTAGACTTGATTGGAAATATACGGGTTGAATACCCGCGCGACTGTGAGTCCACCAAATCGGCGCGGCAAAGCCCGGAACTACGGTACCCAAATTAAGCAAAAACACGATCTGGGTCATCCCTCTGGAATTTTGCCGGGTGACAAAGGGGAGCCCCTCAGGTCGACTGGTGAAATTTCATCATGATTCTGAAAACATAAATGTGATGCTAGCAACCAATACAGGACCGACTTAAGTTGTCAAACAACTTACTCGTCGTTGAGGTTGCAGCCAAAACGTATTTCAAAACGAACGTAGAGATGAGAGAACTGGTTACAAATATAAAAACAATCGGACGGAGACATTGGGCTTGTAAATCAGTGCTCACAGTCAACAGTTTGTTGTCCAAAACGAAGCATGAGGTTCAGTTGCTTGATTCAACCAACACTGTCTATCGCATTAATTGCAACCAACTGTAATTTAGTTTATATAGGCCAAATTTCAAGGTCACTGAACGGCAGGATAACTTCACACAAAAGTGACGCCAGATTACATGTGCTTTGGCATCGCATATTAACAACACAGGTCACTCTATGAATTATGGCAGTATTGAGGTTACTGATAAAGAAAAAAAGACTCTCAAAACGTTTATTTTTAGAAATATCCCACATTTTCATGACAGATCATTGCATGAATAAAAAGGCTAATGTTAAGCAGCTTAGTGTCATTTATTCCTACCTGTTGAATTGCGAAAAGCTAGAACGGCTACATATCCAAATCGATCCAACGTCGTCCCAAAATTAGAATACATTTCCAATTGATCTCCTGTTAATTGAAATTTCTCACTCACAATCTTTAATATAAATTCACATAACCCATCTTTTCAAGTGTGTATCACTATCTCACATTCGTACACTCATATGAGCCACGCACTTTTCCAACACAAATTAATTCAGCATTTTAGTAGTTTAGTTTGGGTGGAGGTTTACCGAGCGTCCCTCGTATACTTCATACCCAAATTGGACAATGAGGTTTACAGTTCCACGTTCCGTCGCGTCAATCACATGTCATCTGTCGACGCATTATCTTTCCGTTGCCTCCCCCTCTCCACGTGTAGCGGAAGTAGGAAGTTAGAAACTGCATTCCGATTGTTTCCCCAAAATGTCTTCTCATGATTAATAATTTTTAATATGTTCGGGTGTATTGATATTTTTAACACATAAACCAGCCCAATGTCTCCGTCCGATTGTTTTTATATTTGTAACCAGTTCTCTCATCTCTACGTTCGTTTTGAAACACCTTTTGGCTGCAACCTCAACGACGAGTAAGTTGTGTGACAATTTAAATCTTTCCCGTGTTGGTTGCTAGCATCATAATTGTTTTCAGCTCCTGATGAAGGCTCCATAGAGAATTGCCGAAAGCTTGAGATTACCGTCAAAAGAATTAACTAAAGCCTAAAAAAGTTTGCCAATTTCCCAATTAACAATTAATTTATATATATCCTTGAATTTCTTTGGGTGGAAGGCAAAGTATTGCATAAGCACAACACTCTTATAACTTAAACTCGAGCTTTCGAACAGTGAAGGGAACACATAGTCGACGAATAAAAAACTGGACCGATGAGGTTCGATTAGGACGGAATTATTTTATTAATTTATTAATTTCTGAAAAGGTTTTTCACTTAAACACTGATTGATTTTGGAAGAAATTTGAAAAACTATCAATTATTGAAAATTCCTTCCAGATTTCATTTTTTTCATAATGATAACCTCGTACCGGCACGTGTTGGATAATGTGACGACTATGTGTTCCCTTCACTGTCGTTTAAAAACAATTTCAGCAACAATCTCGCCGACTTACTCCAGACGATGAAGGTATAAGCCTTCGAAAGCTCGAGTTTAAGTTATGAGAGTGTGATTATGCAATACTTTGCCTTCTACCCAAAGAAATTCAAGGATATTTTCTCCTAACAGCTAAGGCAAATTAACTTCACTATGATCTATCCAACGAACGTACGGAATAATAAATCTGACCGGCACGCGTCTCGTTCCTATTGGTCCGTTTTTGATAGATAAGCCGCCAAGTTCACAATAGCACTTCCTAAGAATTTCCGAAGGTCTGTGGCGTGCGGTTGATTTTTTTTTGTGTGCTTCATTTATTTTGGTGAGACAACTTTTAAATGGATTTTTCGACATGAGTGCCTTATTAGACGAGGTCCAATTACCAAGAGCACGGACTAAAAAAGCTTTGTCGGTTTCTGAAAAAGAAACTATAAATATTTATATAGCTTCTCGGGAGTGCTATCCAAATGAAACTCAGACAGAACATGTAGTCTTTGTTTCAAGAGTATCAGGTGAGGATTTAGCTTTGAAATATAGTTTAAAATGTTTTGTAGTTTGATGTATTATTCTAAATAATAGTAATTTTCTGTTAAATATCTTACCCACTAATATGATAGCTACTTCTATTGCACTTATTTTCAATTATTTTTATTATTTATTAATGCATGTATATATAATATATGCAAAATGTATTAGTTTGTTTTCGGGAGCATCAATTAGCAGTGCATATAAATTTTGACAGAGCTCAAAAGAAGCAACAGTATTTCTCCTCCCAAAGGTTACCATAGAGCCAGAGTAGTTTTGGACAACGTTTCACAAGAAACTAAGGCATTAATCCGAAGAACAATCGTTGAATTTTTCTTCCGAAGCGAACCTCCCACATTGGACAAAATTTTGTTATCAAAAAACGACGGCAACTTGCCAGACTTCAAAACATCGACGTTGATTACATTAATGAAGGAACTTAATTTTCGGTAAGTAAACTGGGCCAGCATATTTAATATATCAATGTAATTAACCTTATAGCACCTTAAAAGTAATGAAAAGATAGAAGAAACAGTGAAAATAAATTAAATGGTACCTCAATTAATTTTAAAACCTACATGCCACTGGCATCAGTTTTGCAGGTAGTTGTGCGGTGTAAATCGGGTTCCCCTGTCACTTGTTTTATTACTCCGTAGGTTTGTTGGATAAATTATACGTTAATTTCGTATCTTCTATACTTTCAAAAGTGATGTAATTGAGTTATCAGAAAAAAATAATGTCAGATTGAAACTACAGCACTTGACCATCCCATGATATCAACGGTGTTACAATGAAAGCTGGAACAATAAGTTAGTGTGAAGGGTTTATATTCTATATAAAGAGTGATTACACACCCTAACTTAGTGAGAAACCTTCACAACAATTTCTTTGATGGTTGATGCCTCGTTCAACTCGCGCTCGATCTTATATATATTCAAAATGACCTCTTTCATTTCTGCACTCAGGTGTATTTTTTTAGAGCGTGTCCTAGGTTTACAACTTCATCGGCAGTATCTGTAGTACTGGGCATTTTGCGCAAGCAGTTGATAACAATAACAATCAATAACAAGGTATAACAATAACAACGACAAACTCAACAACTTAATAAGATAACAAACGAAAACGTCCAAAGAAATATCAAATTGCAATGATGCACACGACATACGTAACACGTCTGAACCTGAATGTGACTCTGCCTTGATACGACTGCTCTGCCGCTCGGCATAGGCATTTAATTGCGAATTGACCAATGAGGGCTCCTGTTTTACGTCGAGACGGCGGCGTTAGCGTGAAAATCACCCGAACCTTTTGTTTACATCCGGTCTATCTCTTATCTGAATATACTGTAGTGCTGAAGTAAAAAATACTTATACCTGCAAAGTCTGTGGTAGTTAAAAATAATGTCAATATTGGTATAACAGGGTTTTTCCGTTGCCACAGTATTAATAAGTAAGACTTTATATCTAGTCTAGAACATTATCTCCACAATAAAAATCAAACATGTGATATCGAAAGTAAAATATGTGATATTGTTAATAGATTATATTAGATGAGAGTGATTTGTTTGTTTGTTTGTTGAAGATTCATTTAGCATTAATGCTACAATGTCAATTTTGTATAATGATTCGGTTACATATTTTTCTTCAATCCAATTTCTGTAATTTTACATTCTTGTCTATTAATATTAAAATTGACAAAAATCATAAATTCATTAAGAAACAAAACATCGAACTCGGTTGACAATATTTCAAATGAGATAATCAAGTTAAGTTATAAAGCTTTAGTACCTCATATCTACTTGATCAGGCATTTATTCAAGTATTCTTGAAAAGACGATTGTTATCCCTCTGCACATAGATTGCAGTAAAGAACTACCGTCAAATTATCGGCCAATTGCTGTAACTTGCTCTTTAACACGTTAAACGCCAAGCAAAATGTCCATCAGGCCAAAGCGCCAAAGTTATGTTTCCAACAAATAATGTGTCTAATCTACCGTCTGCGTCAAAAGCTGACACAAGACGGGAACGGCATGTACTGAAAAAAAGAAGGAAAATCACATGAAGTCAGACGGTATTGTAAAGGATGTTATAATGAAAAATAAGGAGTGAAATCAGAAAATAAAACTCCAAAAATTACTACATATTGTGACAGTTGTGAAGGAAATCCCCACTTTTGCCTTCACTGTTTCGGAACAAGTCATAAATAAATGAAATTATCTTATATTTTGTATCCCTATATCATAACTTATTTTACATATGATGCATTTTCACTGGAATCTTGTTTGTTTTTGTCAAAATTGTCGATTAGATTTAGTAGGAAATTGAATACAAAGCGGTCCATACAGACCGCCATGGCGTGTTGGGCCCTTTGTCAAGAGGTCCCATGGGACCGCCATGGCCTTTAACGTGTTAAGTAAGTTGGTTGAAAAATGCTGGAAAATTCGACTTTTTATGTAACATCTGAAACGTATCCCGTGGTTTTCAGGCTTATAATCTCCCATGTCTGTCTAGCCAACAAAACCACGTATATTTGGAATTATTTTTTCGTTTCGGTCACAACGGTGACCTTCTTCAGCACACGACACTTTTGACAATAGTTTATTTATCTACTATGATAGTCTGAACGGTCTGTAACATGACGAGATTGCGCGAATCCATCATTCCAAATTTTAGGAGGACACCACGCAAAATTAGCATAGACTAGGATTGCCTGGGGTAGGCATCCCCGTTCCCAAAAGGACGTCTAGCACCCCAAAACGACAAGCGATTATAAGGTTATTTGTCGATTTTTAATGTACCAGATACGTTACCCTCGTCCATCGTTCCGAAAATGCCAAAATCCTTAAAAAAACGCGAAACCCCACCCAAAACTGTTGTTGTAACACACCTGTTCTTTGTGCAATATTTGACTAAAATGTTGCAACTGTATTATTTACGGATCTGCATCGCGAGAAATAGCATCTCGACACTTAAAGGGAACTGTGTTGTTTCTTGAGGGAAAATAATATATAACACAACAGATTACCCTTAAGATTGCAAAGTTAAATATCTGCGCGCTTGAAATCCAGTAACAAACAATGAGAAAAAAAACCTGGATAAAAATTTCATGGTCCATTAGTTAGGTTGGAGAATTTCAACTAGATCTTTCTTTCACGGATATTCAACTAAAATGAGTGACAGTCCATAGACGAAATAGAACGAATTGTTGTTCAATTTTATATAGGTTGATTCCTTTACCTTCCTTTTGTAATTGTTCTTTTTGAGCAATATTGACGTCTTCCCATTTTACCCTATGTCCTGTTTCCCACACATGTTCGCTTAGTGCTGATTTTGAGGTTTCTTCCTTTGCTATATGTGTCTATATTTTCATAAGTAGGTTTTGTGTGGCACTGTAGGGATATTAGTGTGCTAGTTGTTTTGAACACAGTTCTGATATTAAATTTTCTGCAAACACCTATAAGTCTTTCCGATAAACCTCTTACGTATGGTATACAGAGTATGCTAGTTGTGGTTTGCAGCGGTCTTGAGGATATAAGTGGAACGTTAAGTCTTATAAGTGGGGGGACGTTATGAAAAGCCCTGTGTATGATTTATCAAGAAGTTTTCAGTTCATAATTTGATAAATTCAATTCTGATATGATTACCTAATAAACATTATTTTCTTTTCACAATTTACACTTACCAAGTAACGTGGAAATAAGTACGACACATACCGGCGTCACATCCGATGCAAACACCCGTTCTAGCGAACCTGACATCAATACACAGACAACAGGTTCTGGAACCCCACTTGCTATATGGCATCTCGAATAATGTAACTGCTGCCAATTGGTCAACCTGTAGAATAAACGAAAGACTGACTTATATTTGATGATATTACTTAAGTATGCTGTAGCATAACTTTACTGAATCACTTCACCAATTCTGTTTCAGTATTGCAAGGATCTCAAAAAATTGCGTCACATAGACTGACTCTGACTTCCCATACAAGGTGCCGTAGTAAATGTAAGATGGAGGTCACCCATACTATCGTCCAAGGCGGACAATTGAAGTTTTCGGAATCACTAATTAAACTGATACATTATCTTGTATTGGTTAAATATTAAATGTAATGATGATTCGGTACGCAGGTAAGGTTACTAAAGAAGTATATATTTGTCTATTACAACATGCTTGTCTAGCAACAAAAAAGTGATATCTCTTGTTTCATTTCCTGTATTATTTTCATATTCTCTTTTCCTGATATTCATATCCGCAAAATATTCGCGAATGCGGATGGGATGCAGAGGAGTTCGGCTGGACACGATCCGACCTAGGCTGGGAAGTATGGACGACGAAACCAAAAATGTCCAAAACCATCACAACCCTCGTCTACTGCAAATGCAAATCATTATGGAAGAGTAATTGCAATAGAAATTATGTCCTTGCATGAAATATTGGTCATTTTGGCACTGTGATACATAACCCCTCGTGATGCACGCGCTGTTTTCTTCGTATTTTAAGCTGTTCTGGAAAATGACTGGAAATATGGGGCGCTTGGGTTTAATCTCAAAACTTAGATAGTATGTACAGAATAGAGAAAATCTCAAAATTGGCTCTACGACATATGCAACACCTTCCCTACCCCCTAACCACGCCCCCCCAGAATCCTCAAGTGGTGCCACTTGAGTACCACTTTTCTACTTCCTCTATGATTAGTTTTCTTCGTATTCTCAGATACCCTGGAAAATATCCCAGATAATGTAGACCATTCGTTCAACTGCAACTTGGCGAGTTTTGATTCGACACACACGGACAGTATCGGCAACAAATTGAAGCTTAAATATGAATGAAAAATTACTAGAGACGACTGAATACATCAAAACATAGATATCGCGAATATTCATCTGCGAGATATACAACGCCCTGTAGATCGATCCCCCTTCAATGCCACTTGGGTACCACTTCTTAAATGTGAAGTATTGATGAGTACTCACTCTTCCGATGCCAATCTCATTCCAGCAAAAATTTGTTGAGATTGAGGAACAATCTACAAGAGGAAGCTTTTCCCAGTTATACTAACATTAGACAGTTCAAAAATCAGATTAACAAAATTTGTTTGGGATCCTGAGAGCAGCCGCGGTGTTCTGGCATTTGGGCTTCTACCTGCGCGGCTACGTCGGCGTAAAAAAAGGGTTCGGTGGATTTCCGGGTCTTAACTATATAACTTTAAAGCTTATTTCCACCATGCATCATATAAGAAGGTGGTATAACATATGACAACGAGGCAAGTTTCAGCCTCGTTCCGCAGACCTTCATCTCTGTTGTTTCATGGTGACTACAGTTGTTTGGCGCACTCTTTCTAACATACGTGTTGCATGCTCTTCTCGTACACAATGTAACCCTATATGGTATCTGACCCAATCTGTGAATAGACGAGGATCTTGGAACACCTACCTCACCAAAGGCAACTCCAGGTACGTAGAGAGCACAAACCAGATGCACCCACTTCCCTAGGTCAGTTTCTTTGAATATTCCACCGCTATTTGGACACAGCTCACATACTAGTTGCTTAACACCTGTCGAAAATACGAATAGAGGTCAAAATTCTGAACTAATAAAAATCCACTTAACGAAAGCCTACTCATAACAAATATGGGTTAAGGTAAACATGATGCTTTCGTCCGACCGACCATCTAACACACCAGAATCGACCACTGCGGAAAATACATAGCCTCTATTAGTTGGAACTGTTAGGGATCTCAGTTCACTTTAATAGCTCAGTCACCATGTGACTGCTAGATAGCTGACGATTCTGGTTGTAAAGTAGATGTGGTCTAAAAAAACTGAACATGATGCTGGACAAGAGATCAAGCCTAGACCTTGCTGATATGTAGTCGTTACTACAATTGTAGGACGCCTTTATGGCCTCCTTGATTTTCCTAGTTTTCTACTCTTCCGTATCAGCGCTCTCTGGTTTGAGATTGTGTTACAAATATCCATTTGCATCAAATTGTTCATGCCTTTGATTTACATCGTCTGTTATATAGCCTGAAATATCCTACAATTGAAGAAGAAAACATAGCCTGGAAATAGGAGAGCATTGACGCTGACACGGAACAGTAGAAATCTTTCTGAAGAAGAGGAAATACTATGAAAATCAAGGAGGCCAAAAAGGCGACGTACAATTGTAGGAACGACTGACGATACGGAAGCACGAAACAGCTGTCCATGGTTGACTGTCTTTTTGGTCGGACGGACGAAAGGATCATGTTTAGTTTATTCAATGGCAAGTGGGCCACATCTATTTTACAGCCAGAATCGTCAGCCATCTAGCAGTCACGTGATGACTGGGCTGTTAAACGTGAACTGAGATTTTTAACACTTTCAACTAATAGCAGCTACGCGCTTTTCGAAGAGGTCGATTCTGGTAATAGATGGCACTTTGCGCTGTCTTATTTCGAGGGCTCAAGGTCAATATTTTAGTTTTACCGATTACGGAATTCTACTTTACAGGGTGGCCCATCGACGTGGAAACAAAACATTGATTCTAAACAAAAGTTAAAAAACATGCCAGCGGTTATTATACATTGTATCGGGAGAGGGCTACATTTCTAGAATAGTCTCAATCATTCAGCGTGTGCCAATTTTACCCACATATCAAAGATGATTAAAAAAGATTTATGCTGATATAGATGTATCATACTCATGGGTTTTGATTATTTGATATTATCCTCAACTGTCGGTCTGTTGGTAGCAACAGTTGAGGTACTGACTGATGAGTAGAACAGCACTCGATGAAAAATTGCTGATGAATAGTTGCAATTAACAACAGTCAAATGCTTCAAGGGGGCCAATGTTGCAAAAACCGTTTAATAAAATAACATGCGTAAATTCACATAGGTGTTGAGTAATGTGTATATTCACAACGCAACAGTGCTTGAAATGAGTGCATCAAATGTACATTAGGCACTTCAAGCGTGCAGTTGAAATAGCTACAGAGTTCGAATAGGTTAGAAGGAAGAAGGAGACAAGAATATATTTTCGAGACCGTGCCAGCAACATAACATAGATTTAATGCATCCTTTTGTCTAGACTAAGTGGCAAGCTCAAGCAGATTTTTTTGGAACGGTAATTTGTTGTTTTTCCCTATTTTGTATCCTATGTAATTTTTTAACTGCAAATAAACGCTATTATTATTATTACTATTATTAGTTTGATGTAGTCGATTTTCTGGGCCCTGCTGCGGTTCCTTAACAGTTTTGGGCTCCTAAAATGAGAAACCGTGAAATTACTGATTATAACGCGGAATTGAATACTTTTTCTAAGAGCTGTCATAATCAAAACGAATATAGATAAAGCTCAAAGTTAAAGTTCTAGTTGGCCTTTTTCAGTACTCAAGGTTCTATTAGGCATGAAATTATATTAGCAAGTCTTAGGCTGGGAATCATGAATAAAAGAAAAAGAACCGGACGGAAAAAAGTAAAACCCCATCATTCATACAGATGTCATTTCGTAAGGCCGATGACTACCCTATATTAACACTTGAAAAGATCTGATTTTATTCAGTTTAAACTGTTTTGCAATCCACAAGAACCTTCACTATTTTTGACAATTGCCTGGAATACTAGAACTGTATTGAAACCTACGCACTTTTGTTGGTTTCGCAAAAAAACAAAATCCGATTTAACGGTCAGTGTCAGCAACTGTCAAATTGGCAACTTGAGGCTGAACGACTTGCATCCTGACTACTGACTAGGTTATGGTGGTTTAAAAACAAATCGCCTGGTTGCTCCTTCTACCTAGTCGTTGGTAAAAGATCGTTTTCCATACCTGCTTTGCAAGCTTCACAGAACCAAGGCGTAGTAGGGGAGAGCGAATCGGTGCTATCCAAACTGGCAGTGTCGCTGATTCCGTAACAGGCCTCATGTACAGTTATCCCGCAGCCGTCGCACTCAACGATTTCGTTGACACCATCACTCTGATCTCCCAAACAACCGGCACAAATTAAAATTTCCGCTGCAATCTTCTCGTCCAGCTAAACATACAAGCCCATATTTATAAACGCCTCTTCAGTCTTACGAGGTCTGTAAATTAAGTGATTCAACTAATTTAAAAAAAATATATCCATAGTACTGGATTAGCCCCTGGTCGGTTACAGCCGTTTGAATGTTTTCGACTGTCCCACCCTTAGGGTGATTTTTCAATTTTGGGAAGAGAAAAAAGTCACAACCACTGAAGTCAGGTGAATAAGGAGGCTGAGGAGCCACAGGAATGTTTTTACTGGTCAAAAACTCATTTATTGACATTGCTGTGTGACAAGGAGCATTATCGTGATGCAACACCCAGTTGTTCTTGATCTAATGAAAGGTGGTTTGAGTCAAATTGAACTCTTGCTCATTGATGTCATTCATTCTAAGAACACGATACGAAAAACTGTTCCAAAAAAAAAATCGCTACGGATAACCAACTGACTCAAGTAAGTTCAAACTTGTACTGACAGCGGATCAATTGTTCCCCTGTTTGCCCTCCAAGCCCGACGCCTCCAGTGTTACCAGATCGTACGCTACGTTGCCAGTCTCATCACTTAATTTACAGGACTTGTATGCACCGCCTTACTAAGGTCAAATTTAACCTAAGCTGATCCTCAGTTTCAATATTTTTGTTGCACCAGATACATTTAAAATTCGAGTGTGTAACGGGTCAATGGTGCTGAAGGCGACCCTTCATAGTTCATGCAAGAGTTTTGCATGCAAATAAAGAAATACAGAGTTCGTTTCACATTTTAATCAAAACCCCCCAAAAAAATACAAAGACAATAAAGTGAATGTTCAATGCACGTGAAGCGTGAATTGTCCTAGAACTGAACAGGTACCAAATCGCCACTCAAAATAATATAAGACGTATAACTGTCTATTTAAGACCACGGAACTTAACTTCCGCTTGCACTCTGGCAGACGGAAAATGAGATAAGCGTGGTCACCATCCTTCAGCAATTACGGCACCGTATGTTTTTTAGGCTGTACCAAAGTAAAAATATACTCAGTGACATTTGAAGGCAACAAATAAATATTGGCACAGAGACCCCTATCTCTAACTCCATCTAGTCAAGCCACTACACAAATCTGGAGCAAAGACACACATTTCTATTTATAGATCAATCAAACTATTGAGCATTTTCTCAAAGATTTTTGAAAAAGTTTTACTAATTTTATTGATAAATATAGACTTCTTTCTAAACAGCAATATGGTTTCCAAAAACAGAAATTCACGCAGGATGCAATTGCAGATTTGATGAAAAACGTGTATACGAGCCCCTTCCCACTTCAGTTGGCCCACTTCAAGATTTGTACCAAAATATGCCTTTATAAACTAAACATGACAAAACTATTTACTTCTAAAACAATTTATTTTCTCAAAAACATTTTAGATACACTCTAGTCGTAAAACATACATATTTGAAATCACTTAGACCTATAACTAATAGAACATCTGAACAAATAATGTGCGAATAAATGCGCGAAGTTAACAAAGCAACAATTGAAAGATTACCATTGGGTAACATCACCTTTATTTTTTATTACGGCTGAAATTTTTTGGGGCATAGTGTTAACCAAGTTTTGGCAAAAATTTGGTATAAAGCAATCCCATATTTCTTGAAGCTTTTGTCTCAGTTCGTAGAGCCTTTTTCATCTCGTGCCACAAAGTTTCAATAGGTGACAGATCTGGACTGCTAGAAACCCATTTCAAAAGTGGTACATTATTTTCTTCCATGCATTTTATAACCTTTTTTGAGGTATGGCACGCTGCACCATCTTGCTGAAACACAAAATCTTGGCCGGATGTCAAACATTCTTCCATCACTGGTAAAAGCGATTCTTCTAAAATTGCCAAATATTTGTATTCACATTTCTACCAATAAAATGAAGTTTTCCTACTCCTTTTGATGACATACTGCCTCAGACCATAATGGATGCTGGAAATTTCACTTTTCTCTTCAGACAGCCAACATGGAATGCTTCATTTTTTTGCTAATAACTCTACTGCGACTGTCACCAACACAAACTTCGAATCGGGCCTCATCACTCCATTGTATTGCACACCATTGTCGAGGTGTCCATTGTCTATGTTCTTTAGGCCATCTAAACCGATTTTTCTTTTGCAGTCGAGTTAATAGTTGCTTTTCTTTGGCCTATAAACAAGTTGTGCAACTTTAGGGTTTTTACTTCACTTTTTTTATAAGAAAACTTACCTTGCAAGTGCTAACTCCCAGTTTGTGGGCCTCTCTATGAGTTGTGGACCTCGAAATTCTCCTTCCAACAGCGTCAATCCACAGAGCACTTAATTGTAAATAATTGGCACGCCTGTTTTTCACGATTATTCTTCTTAATGCTCTTCGGTTGGCATTTGTGATATTACTTTTTTCCACATATCGTGGCTTAATATTAACTGAACCAGTTACGTTATATCTTCTATCGAGTTTGATTTCCCAGAATTAAAAAATTTAATTATCAGTAACCGAATTTTCTCACGAATAACCTTTCCTCTACCCATTTTGAAAACATTAACTACCCAAAACTATTTTAAACGTATTCGGACAGCTGTGATTAATAAAAACAATTGTCATGGCTTTTATTTTTCACAGCCTACCTATGCGTTATAGACTTATTTTGCATTGAAATGAAAATAGATTGATATGCTGTAATTGCAACATGTGTTATTTTTATGCTGCACATTTGATTAGGGAGTGATAAAGTTGGTGTTTTCTACTATATATTACGAAAATATTCATTGTTAATATTTTAAACCTGTAACACCCTGCCACATTTTTATTATTTGTGTTTGATAAGAAAAAAACTAAGATTTAAATAGTTGGGCCAACTGAAGTGGGAAGGGGCTCGTACTAATATAGACTTAGGAACCCCATCGGCCTGTGTCTTTATTGATTTAAAGAAGGCATTTGCTACTGTTGAACACAAAGAATTACTAACTACTTCAGAGAATCAAGGAATTCGTGGCAAAACACTTTACTCAAAAGCTACCTGACAGATAGGAATCAGTGTGTGAAAGTCAATAATTTCATGTAACATACGGTTTCCCTCAAGGTACAGTCTTAGGACCCATCCTGTTCAACATATATCTAAATGATCTTTTTAACCTACACACACACACGGTAAAATTATCGGGTTCACAGATGATACGGCTGTGTTTTCTGGTGAATAATCTTGGAATACCTTAAAAACTCTTATTGAAGATGATTTCAAAGACATTATGAGCTTCTTCAATAATAAAATATTAACAATCAATTATGAAAAAACCTTAGATCTGACTTTTTCATGCGATGATAGGAACAGTCCCCATTCACCAACATATATATCATATTACTACCCATAGATGAAGTAGTAGTCCTAAAGCCAGCAAATTATATAAAATACCTAGGAACCATCATAGACAGCCATCTTAAATGGGACAAGCACATAGAAAGCTTAACGAAGATAATAAGGTGTCTTATCCCAAAACTTAATTTTTTAGGGAAATCCTTTCTGATAAAGACCTATGCACCATATACAAAACGTTAGTACAAACATTGTTAACTTATGGAATTTTGGTATGGGTATCGGTATTGAATAAATACTACAGGAAAATAGAAATAACTCAGAAATGGATTCGTAAAATCATGTTCCACAAAACTATCACCTATCCAACCAATATGATATATAAATTATCCCAGATATGTGATGGTAGGCAACTCTATTTTGAGAGTGTGTTCAGGTATCCTACAAAACACAAGCATTTATTAAATTTCGTCTTGCATGACCATCATACCAGATCCAAAGATCATTCAGTACGCACACCGAAGCCTAACAAAACCATAGGTCAGAGAAGTTTCACTTTCCTATGGACAAAAATATATAACTAAATACACCCTCAGATAAAATATATTAGAAGTACCAAAGCTATGAAAAAGCATCTAAGACTGTGGATGTTGGTCCAGCCTATGCTCAAGATTCATCCAGCGATGGATATAAAAAATATCTATTACTACTGAAAGCGGAAGTCTCTTTCAAAATTAATGAAACTTCAAAATGAAAAAAGAATAATGTATAAATCAAACTGATGTGAATTCTTATCTCCTGAATTATTGCATTTTATTACTTATTTTTACCAATTTACCATAATGCTGCTTATTTCTTCGAATTTTTATCTGCACATTGTGTTTAACCACTAACTTGAGATAATTAACTTGTCGTCCATTAAACAAGCTTTCACCAGCGAAAGGACGACAGAGCCATTTTACCGATAAGAATCTTTCTCCTATAATATATACTAAAGTACACACAATGTGGAAAAGCATTTATTTCTCCAAATTAATAGTTATTCCTTCCCATTACACTACGACGCCTCTTGGTTTACTGGATCTTTATACAACTGTACTTGACACTGAAAAATGTCAAGTGAATGTTGGAGACATATCAAATCTGTCATAAACAATTAGAATACTCTTGAAAGCCACTAAATTTTTTCTTCGCAACAAAAGGTGATAAGACACATCTGCTTTGTTTTGAAATGTGTATAATAACATATGTTTTTCGAATATCGTAGCGAATGTGTTAAATTACTCACGAATGCGAAATATTTGAATTTGTTTGGAACATAAAAAAACGTAACCCTTCGTTTTTCGGATAAAAATAACAATTATCTTTCGCCATGGTTTGTGATTCATGTCGGCAAGGTAAATCCGTGTATTTTGCTATAAAATGCCCTTTGAACGAACCTTGTATATTACTCAATAAACTAGTACTGATGGCCGGAAGACAGGGAAGACAGGGATAAGCAATTAGACATTCTCAAAAACTACTTGACCAATCGACTCCAATTTTGTTGTGGTTATTTAGAAGTATGAAGCCTACGGATTTAAAGAATTTCAAGCAGCTGCGTGAAATTATCGTCGCATTACCAACAAATACCAAATCTTGCATTCTGCCTAGATTTTCGGCCATAACTTTTTTACTATTATGCGGATATTTTTACGTAGGT